TAGTTTTGGTGGAAAACCACCTCTTTTACACCCTCTAGGATTGTTTTTTTTTGCCCACGAAAAATATTTTATAAAAAAAAAAAAAAAATCGGTTTAATTATGATTTTCCCTCTACAAAAAAAGCAAAAAACAAAAGCGCCTATTCTTGGTAATTATGCCTTTGTAAATATATAATATACATTTATAATATAATTTTAGTAGAGTAATATGTTTATTGCACATTGATATATATTATTGTAATTAAGTTATGTGTAGGAGTTGAGAAATTAGGAGCGACTGGCGCTTTAAAGTCCTGATTGGCGCTTTAAAGACCGAACTGGACATTGTGGGGGATAAATACAAACCCCCGAACGAGACTTCCTGACGACTTGCTTGATAGGGAGATATTTATAATATATCCACGAAATGTGTTGATAGAGAGATAACTAACGCAAAGCGCCTCGGCGCGTCAGGAGCACCGTAGGACCGGGGCACCCGTAGCGATGAAACTAAACTCGACAGTGGAGGTCACTTCGTTCTTCTCGCGGGCCCCTCCGTGAAGCTTCCGACACCTCAAGCGACATAAGCACATATTCGTCCATAGACGACCCAGGACAGGATGGTCCATAATGACAGTAGAGAGCCTGCATCAGTTGTGCAGCTAGCTAGAACGTGCTGAAGTATCTGGACTAACTATTGTGTTATGAATTCGATCTGGTTTCCTTTACAAGTACTTCGACAACGATATACTGAGCTTCTTATAAGAAGTTCTGAGCGCTTGAATTGGTGGTTCGACAATTCTATCGCAGAATTCTCTAATGTCCTTATCCTGATCAACAGCGTACGCAACAAGGGGGGCGATATGCCGTAAGCGGAATCTGAAATGATAAATAGGAAGGTACCCCCATTGCCGCACAGCAGCGCCTTGCACAGAGAAGCAGCTTTGACACTGAGGCCAAAGCCGCTGTTGAATTTGTAGTCCTAGTCGCTTGCGCCACCACTTCGCCCCCTGCTCTTCGACGTATTTTGTCGGTGGCATGTGGTCCGCAATGAACTTCATTTTCGGGAATATCTGTCTACTACCGCATTGGTGGCAGCCGAATCGACGGCCAAGCTGTTGAATACTAAGCCGCTGGGCAGAAGAAGCTGTTGCTGATGCTGATGCCACGGATCCGCGAAGGGTGCGCCGGGTGTGGGCGTAGGCACCCAGCGCAATACTACTCGATGGGAAAGCGGAGCGAAACAAAACACCATCCAGGGCGATATACGCAGCGACTCCAAAACACGTCCGTCGCAGGATATCTTTATCCCAAGGGTCTATCGTGGGCCGAGATTTTGCTCCAGATAGTAGAGGCTGTATCTTCCTCTCGGCGTAATTACATCCGTACAAACTCGCAGCAGTTGCGCACAACCCAACAGAGGCAACGAGGGGCAGTGGCCTTGCAGCGTGAAGTCCCACTAAGCCAGCTGTCCTCTGGAAGATTATCTGCAGAGCAATGAAAGACGATGTAAGAAATGCTGCTGCGCCGGTGGTGCTCTTCAAGCGCGCTTTCTCGTCGGCCGTCAAACTGAAGCTCGTTGGCCATGGGTCCTTCATCTACCGAGACTGCTGCTGCTGCTGCTGCCGCCGCTGCTTCTGCTTCAGCTTCTGAATGGGTCGCTGAATGAAACCGCACTCTTGGTATCGATCACTGCACCCTATGGAATGGTCTGTCTCGGTCATGATGCAACGGTCACTGCTAAAAAGTGGGAAGTCGGGAACCCAAAAAGTGGCGTTATGTAACATGTTTTTCTTGGGTATTGACGCCTTTTTGCGCACTGGTGGAACCGCCGCGTCTGCTTTTGCCTCTTGCTTCCTCTTCCTCGTTCCACACAGTCGAAGCAGACGATCTCCAGGAGCTTGCCTTTGAGGACATCAGCAGGCAGCAGCACAAGTCCTCTTTCTACGAGTCCTTGCTGTTCGATCAGCGTGCTCGAAGGATCCCAACACATCGCACTTGACGGGAGCACAGATCGGTAATCGGGGAACCCTTCGCATCATCGCACGGGCAGGATCCACCTTTCATCAGAATGACACGCGGAGTTGCTTGGGATGATTTGCCCTGCACTCTTCCTATCAAAACGAACGCATCTGCGTCGGCTACCGCAGCCATCGTGCCTGAGGAGGTACCCCCGCACGTATTCAACCCCGAGAAGGATCTCATTGAGATCGGTCGACGCATCGCGTTCGGCACTGTGGTAAGCTCGCGATTGCTGGGCTTAAAATGACTTTCTTGTCTCATCTATTCTTCGGATCGTTTTAGTGCGGATCCATCACAGGTGCATGCTTCGGCGTCGTGGATGTGCTGAAAGACCCTACCTCCATGACCGGGAGAAGATCGATTGCTACCGGCAAAGTGCTGAGATTTACCTACCTATTTGCAGGGTAAGTCAGCACAATGAAATATATATTAGTGCATGTGACAACTCGCTCAATTGTCTTCTTTGACACCATCCAGATTCTTTGGGTTGTACCACGGCGTGCGGAAAACACTGCAATATGCAGTTCCACAGCCACTGGAGAATAACATCATAGTTGCAGCGGCATTGAGCATCACTCCACTCATAGCAATAGGCTCTCTGCGGCCCCTGATTCCCTACAGCGTTATGCTCGTAGCTATCGACGCTTTCAATGAGTTCAATGATGGGAAGAGCTAGTGGCGAGCTGGGGCACGCACACACCAGCAGAGTCGCGAAGGAAAAATAGCAGTGGTCGATGACACTTCTTTGTATATGAATCGAGGCTGGAGTGACTACAGCCTTCTATCTCCTATCTCCCGCAATTATACCTTCAATTACTTCCGCCCATATGTGGCGATAATTAGCCCCCCCTTTTCAGCGTTGTACGTAAACATGTCTGCTACAAATATTTGATTGTTTGTTACATTTGTGAATGTTTGCTCGTTATAAGTGCTGCTTCTAGCAAAACAGCACGTGCGTATTAAGCACTAAGTGAGAGGCACACGTGGTGATCACCCGCCCCACCCCAGATCCGTCCCTACAACCCATACAGCTATACTACCACCACCTCACCACAATCACGTCTAACCGACCCTGGACTCCCTCCGCCCATCAACCACTCACACCATCTGCGACCACTATCTTCCATCCCAAAAATATCCCCCCCCTTCGCCTCCACCTTCCCCCACCCTCACCCTCACACAGAGTCAGAAATATCATGACCCCACGCATACCCCACACATATCCCCACCCTTCCTGCCCCTGGCTCTCACATATCTCATATTACCCCATGTAAACACACATCCCGTCACACATTGCGTGCACACAGGCACGTATATCACTGCAATGCCGTAATGCCGTACTGCCGTAATGCCCGTAATATCAGAACGAGACGGTTACTCTCTGCCAAATAGTTGCTCCATTCTTTGTTCCATTCTTCTTAGTCGAAGTCGTCGAAGTTCTCGTGATCATCGTTTTCGTAATAATCCCACGTCTTGTGGTATGAATAATCGATGTGCGATTGGTTGGGGGATGCCCAGGAGGCTCTAATCACCTCGCCGCCAGAGAAGTTCGGAGGAGGGTTAATACCGAGCTTCTCGGTCAGATTCGCGACTAGAGTTTCCTGCCTCTCACCCCCTGCCTCTGCAGCGGCCCGCAGAACTTCCACTACAGCTGCAGTAAAGCGGCGTTGGTCGTTCAATCCATTCAGTGCAGTCTCTGCTTCCTCGTGCCTCTCAAATGATAAGTAACAATAACGGAACCGGTCAATATAGTGGATATTGGTAGCGGTGCCGAATTTAGCCCACACCTTGTTCAGAATCGATTCGACTTGCTCTGCTGCACAATCTAGCATCATGTTCTTTATTTTGAAGTTCACGCGGATGCGCTTGTTTGTATTTTCGATGGCTACCGGTAGGGGCTGTGGGAGGCTGTCCAGAATGCTCTGGGATTGCTGCTCGTTGCCGCCTTTGAAGCTCATGTTGGAGGTTGGAAATGAGCTATCAGTTTAAACATTTAGAACAGTTGGCGTGTGTAGATTGAAGATGTGCGTGAACAACGATTGCACGAACGGGTAAACGTATGCCTCAACATACGTTTACCCTCATCAAAGTCGGGAACGTTTTGGTTGGTTGGTTTCAGCCAAATCGGCATAAGTACAAACCGGTCTCACCGGTATAAGTATAGACCGGTCTTATTCGGGCAAAAAAGGAGTAGCGAGTGATGGTTTCGATCCACCGACCCTAGGGTTATGGGCCCTATGCGCTTCCTCTGCGCCAACTCGCTTGTCAACTTTAGAAAACAAAAAGTATATGAAGCAATTCAAGCGGGTTCTTCGATGAACTTCAGGTGCTTTCGTTCGGCTCGGAGCTCTACCACAAAAAGGAGTCCTGCCTGTGCATCTTCGTAGAGTCATGGCTCAGAGCATCCCAGAAGAGATCAGAGACCCTCCAGTTCTTCCTCACCCCTGTGTTGTCCCTCTCCTCCCGCACAATCATGGACGCCCTGAACGCGGAATTCGGCGGCACTCTGCGGGGTCCCGAGTTCCAGGCCGTGCTTATAATTGACTATGATGATGGGCGCATGTTCCCACTCACCGAAGACTGCCCCAAGTGCTTGCTTCCTGTTGGAAACCGGCGTTTGCTTTCTTATCAGCTGGACGTGTTGTCGAAAAGTGGAATAGCAGGTACCTTCAACAGACAGAACACGCCACACTCCGCAATATCTTAGTTTTCTTGCACTTCGTCTTCATTGCAGAGGTTTACATTGTCGCCCCGCGCGAGTACGAGGTCAAGGTGTCTCACTTTCTGGGCGAGTATATCCAAGAGGGGATGAGTATTGACCTGGCGGTGGTGGACGACATGAGCGGATCGGCAGACTGTCTGCGCGCCATCGGCGACCGCATCAGAGGCGACTTCGTCTGCCTGCACTCGGACTTCATCTCTCAGTTCTGCCTCGGCGATCTCGCCACGCTGCACCGGCTGAACTCTTCCGACCTCACGATGATGTTCACGGCCATCAGCAAGGACGCGAAGAGGGACGAGATGGACGAAGAGTTCATCGGCATCTGCGACGACGGCAGAGTCGTCTTGAAGATGCCCACGTTAGAGATCGACGAATCGATCAAACTATCAAAGCCTCTGCTGCATCATGCGCCCACGCTGAGTCTGAGGCAGGATCTGTTCGACCTGGGCGTGTACGTGATGTCTCACTGGGTTATCGAGTTCTGCCTCATGAACAAGCGCATCTCCTCTGTGCGCACAGACCTCGTCCCCTATCTGATCAACCGCCAATACCAGCCCGCCGAATACTTGGTCAAACTCATCCCAGCCTTGGCGCATAGAAATCTCCCCCTCAAGACTGTTGATCCGTGGGTGTCGTACAGTTGTACTGGTTCGGCCGGGAGCAGAGCAGGCACAGAGGACAGGCCGCAGGTCATCCTGGACGAGCTGATCAGGACAGCCGCAGCCACCAAGAGCGTCCCGCCTTCGCCAAAACCTTCACTTGATAAGCTGTGCCTTGCCAGTGGAGACCTCAACACGTCAGCTATGTCCCCCACTGCTCCGGAGAGCGCCTTGTTGCTGCGCAGCTCCGACCCACTGCGCTGCTTCGCTCTCGTCTACGATACCGTCACACCCGTGTCCGCCAGCGCCATCGCCGCCGGAACCCCTCCCGCAGCTGGACCCCTTCTGAACCGAATTGTGAACATTACCACGTACATTAACATGAACAAGTAAGCTTCATGCTCCTTGCTGTGGCAATCCCAGACACGTCGCATGCTTACCGTATATTATTTCCTCCTGTTCTCGCAGGGACATCGTCGCTCTCAAGCACTCGCCACGCATCCCCTGGCCACGTCTTCAAAACGTCATGAAGAAAGAGATGAGCATCATGGGGGAGGGGTGCGAAGTAGCGGAGAAGACCGTGACGATAAAGCAGTGCTGCATAGGCAACAACTGCAAGATCGGGCAGATGTCCAAGTTGAACAACTGCGTCATCATGGGCGACGTCGTCATCGGAGAAAAGTGAGTTCTAATTTCTATTCGTTGTGTACGATCCGCATTTTCTTATTTCTTCATCTGTTTTCCACCCACAGCTGCACCGTGCAGAACAGCATTTTGTGCGACAAGGTGGTCATCGAGAACAACTGCAAGATCAACGACTGCAACATCGGGGGCGGTTATCGCGTCGTCGTGGGGAGTAGATTAAAATCAGAAACATTTACCGCGAGTAGTCATTAGGAATGTAATGATCAATTAAGTAGCCAAGCTATTCCCCTATTCCCCTATTCCCCTATTCCCCTATTCCCCTATTCCCCTATTCCCCTATTCCCCCTTTTTGGAAGCCAGTTGAACCCGCTGACCGCACCCCCTTTCAGCTTATTTTTAGTGATGGCCATTGTTTACCTTTGGTGTTACAGCACTTATCTATCGCAGCATATTTCATCTCACGAGCTACCCCGTGCTCTTGTGTTACCTTGGTGTTGCAGCACTTATCTGTCGCAGTATAATTCATCTCACGAGCTGCCCCGTGCTCTTCTATCGCAATGTCGGCCTTCACTGGCCCTGTGGAAATGAACGAGCCGCGCTTCATGGCGCTGCTCGAGAAACTGATCGGCGAGAGCCGACACCTCCAGAACTCGCCATCCCAAGGTCTTATCCCGACGGAGGACCTCGCCATTGAACATATTCTTGCTGTCCTCCATCCCTTCTTGAAGGTCAATGGAGGTGTGTTGGAATGCGAGCGTGTCACTTTCGTCGAGGGCCGCGGCAACCTGATTTTGAAGTACCCCGGGACAGGCACAGAGACCTGCGCCTTCGTCGGAAGTCATATGGACGTAGTCCCTGCTGATCCTACTGGATGGGATCGCGATCCGTTCAAGCTCTGCGTGGAGGGCGACATGCTGTACGGCAGGGGCACCACTGACTGCCTGGGCCACGTAGCGCTGCTCACTGATCTCATGGTGACATTGGCAGAGACCAAGCCCCTGATGAAGCGCACCATTGTGGTCATATTTATCGCGAACGAGGAGAACGGCTCTTTCCCGGGCGTGGGAGTGGACCAGCTGGCTAAGGAGGGATACATGGACCAGCTGAAGAACGGGCCCGTCTTTTGGATCGACGCTGCCGACTGCCAGCCCTGCATCGGCACCGCAGGCACGGCGCAGTGGTCGATGAAGGCCGTAGGCAAGCTGTTCCACTCCGGCCTACCTCACAAGGGCATGAACTCGATCGAGCTTGCGATGGATGCGATTGCGTACATTCAGAGTAAGTGCCAGCTGAAAGTCGAATCACATCTTCACATATTGGTGCCATGATATCGCGCATAACCACACCCACTCCTACCCTACCTTATTCTAGAGAAATTCTACGCAGATTTCCCGCCCCACCCCCTTGAGAAGGACTACAACTTTGCTACGGTACGTCCGACTTTATGTAGTACGTACACTACACGCCCCTTTACTAACGCCTCACCTGTGTTGGTCACCTGTCTCCCCTTTACTGCGTCCTCAGCAATCGAACATGAAGCCCACGCAGGTCAGCTGCACCCCCGGCTCGCTGAACCAACTGCCCCCCGAGTGCACCATGCAGGGAGACTGCAGGATCACACCCTTCTACGAGGTGAAGGCGGTTATGAAACAGATCGACTCGTACGTGGCGGAGATCAACGCAGACCCATCCATCCTGCACTCCTCTGCGCACGGCCCCCACTCCAAGTACACACTACCTGAGGAGGGCAAGCAGGGGAGAATAGATCTCAAGTGGGTGGGCGAGGGTGAGAACGGCATCGCGTGCAAGCTGGACTCCAAGGGTTACCACGCAATTCTGGAGGCCACAAAGGCCGTTTTGGGCTCCGTGACGCCCTATGCCATAGGGGGCAGCCTACCGCTCATCCGCGATCTGCAGGACCAAGGATTCGACGTGCAGATATCAGGCTACGGCATCTCCTCCAGGTCAGCTCCCCTCCCGACTGCGCACACCCTCCCTACCCTAACCTCCTTTATTTTATGTTATGTTATTTTATTGGTCCCTGTTCTCTTACACTTCTGCACTCCTATACTCCATCATTCCTGCTCTCCCACTGCTTCACACCTCCACTCCCACAGGTACCACGCTGACAACGAAGCCGCCTCTCTGTCCAACCTCAAGGACGCCACGCGCATCATCTCCACCGTCATTTCCATCATGGAACGTTGAGTTGAACACAAAATCATGAAAGTATGAAAGTACAGATGAATTACACATGAAAGTATGAGAGTACGGTGGAACACACAATGCTAGGCTGATTTACAGATTCGACGTAATTAAGTTGAGCATGATAGTAACTAAATGTCAAAAAAGAACATGTTCGTCTCCATTGTGAGTGCAGGGGAGTACTGCGCGCCGACGGGTAGATTCCTGGAGATGATCTTCGCTGGCACGCCGACCGCGACTGAGTAGGAAGGAACATCTTCCAGCACCATACTGCACGCGCCTATGTGCGCCCCGTTGCCCACAGTGATAGGTCCTAGTAAAGTGGCTCCTGCGCCCAGAAGTACGCAGTCCCCAACCTGGGGGTGGCGGATGACATCCTTGTTGCCCGAACCTCCCAGGGTGACCTTGTGCAGCATGGACACATTGTCGCCTACACGTGCTGTTTCTCCTATAACGACTCCAGTTCCGTGGTCGATGAGCAAGCCGTTGCCCAGGGTGGCGCCGGGGTGTATGTCGATGTGAAACACAGTGTTTGACCTGCTCTGCAAGAAGAGCGCTGTGGATGGGAGAGGGTGAGGGGAGAGTGGGATGAGTGGGGTCAGTGGCAGGGTGGTAGATCGTTGGCCGCCGTGATGTGCGCTGGGCTCCAGTACCTAATGTAATGCGCCCCTTGTGCCAGAGCCAGTGAGACACGCGGTGCGTTTGCAGCGCCTGGAAGCCTTTGAAGTACAGGATCACGTCGGTGTACGACTTGATCGCAGGGTCTCTGATCATCACTGCCAATATGTCCAGCCGCAATGATTGCCGGAACTCGTCCGATCCTTCGAAAGCTTCCAGGAAGAGCGCCTGGATCTGGGTGCTGATCATGGCTGGGCTGTTGAGAAGATTCGCCATGTGGTATGCCAAGCAGCGTTCAAGAGACTTGTGGGAGAGGATGGAAGCGTGCATGAAGCTGGCAAGCAAAGGCTCCTTTGACGCCTCTGTGTGGAGATAAAGTTGGAGGAATTTGTCAATATTATATCAGTGCATCAATAAGACGCTCCTTGTGTGACCCACCTTCCTTGGCATCGCTTCTCAGGGCTTCCCAAACCA